CCAGCCAACAAGACAAAAAGGCAGAATCACAAAACTGAAAATAACATCAAGATGCAATAAAAACTAACAAAACTAGCAAGAAAATCACGAAACCGAAAGAATCAATCGATGCACGCGAAAAAAAAGCTAATAAAGAAAAGCAAAATAAATAAAACATTCACTTGCGAAAAAGCCCACCTCGGACAACAAGGAATGAAAAGGGTGGGTGGGTGGGGAAATCGAAAAGTTCACGGTTGACTTGAAAGCAACAAAGGACGCTACTAACTAACAATACAAAATTGCGCATGCGTGAAACAATCAATTTGCATAAATACAACAAGACAATTGCGCATGCGCGCAGTGCAAATAATAAAATTCACGGGAATAATTAACCATTTTGAAATACAAAATTACACTATTACACACAATGCAGCATGAGGACCACCACCATTTGAATGCTGAACACAGACCTTGTTGTTATGGTAAATAAAAAAAAACAAAATACAAGAAATTAAAATTACATCACAACATCATTTTTTTAATGGTTTCTAAGACGAGAAGTAAAACATTTTTAGCCTTAATAATATAACAAAATTTCAGTGACATCTCATATAGTGGGATTTGGCAATACAAAAAATAAAATTTAATCAAATCTCTCATCTAAAATCCGTACAGCGTGTGTACTATTAATATACCAGTAATGATCACCGTACTGGTGTCTTTGATTCACAGTTTACATTTTGCTCTAAACATCCTTTAGATAAGTTGAGAAATGTAATTTAAGTTGAAGAAGTATGGGAATTGCCGTTTCCTCTCTCTCTCTACATATGTATACATTGGTGAGTGGTATTTGACACCAACGCCAGGTGATTATCTCATTAATAGAATGCCTGGCATACCAGGAAACACTATAAAACAATCAAACTTTGATCTAAAGAGATTACAGGGGTCCCACACAAGCAGCACAGATCTGACTTTGTTTTGTTATTCAGACATGACTAAAGTGAAACTGAGTGTTTCTAGACCATGTTAAAGAGTATATACCGGTACACTGCATTCTTTCAAGGTGATAACCATGAATCACATGGAAAAAATCAAATTCTAAAAATAAACTAAGAACCTACAAACTTTTTAAAACCAAAATTGAACAAGAAAACTACTTAACAATTATGAAAAAACAATGAACTTGCAAATCCTTAACAAAATTTAGACTTGGCAACCACTGTCTGAAAATTGAAACAGACCAGCATATTGGTTTGGATTTTAAATACAGAGTCTGCAATATGTGCGACAATGACCATGTTGAAGATGAACAACATTTTGTCATAAATTGTCCTCATTACAACGAAATAAGATCTAAACTTTACATGGTAGCTAATAAATGTATACCAAATTTTGACAAATTTAGTAATGAAAATAAATTCATATCATTACTAAGTTACTAAGTAACGAGAAAATGTCAATTCCTTTAGCCCAATATTTAAAAAACTGTTTTAATACAAGACAGCAGCATCTACATAAACTAAGCCAGTAACACATTCCTTGTATACAAATTTATCTATCAAATTTTTTTTTTTAATGCTTTTTTGTTCCCTTACTTTTTATGTAGTTATTTTTCTTTTAATAATATTTGATTTGTACCCCTTTTCATCCCCTCCGGGGGGATGTTGTGTGTTAATAAATAAATAAACAAATAAATAAATAAACAAATAAACATGGTAGAAATAGTTTTGATTTTGAACAGTCAAATTTTACTAGCCAGGGGAAAGCGTGAAATTGGATTGTAGGACAAAGAATCAGAGTGACGGTACATTCTCGAAACTACATTTTCAGTGCTGTTGTTATTATGTTGTAATAACAAATCTTAATGATTGACAGCATTGAATATAAAATAGTTCCAGTAGATTAACTAGTCGATACATCTTCCAGTGAATTTGCATCAACAGATTCAGCCTGTGCGACACCATGCAGTATTATGGTAAAGGGCAAAGGCCCTGTGCACCAGGTTTTTGAATTCTGTAAACAAACTACATGCACGCATATTATCGGTATTTGAGTTGTATGGGACCCATACCAATGCGTTTCTTTGCTATAATATTTGACAGTGCACAAATTATGCAGGGTTCTTTAATATATCAACGAAGGGCAATGCACAGTGACGAAATAAGTGAAAGATCTGCCCACACTTTCGGTGATGTCGTTGCTGACCAGCAAAATTTTTTGTTGTAACTAAAAAGTTAACAATGTGCCACCTGCTTAAATCATCACCCATAATGCTAACCTCATCCTTATAATTATTACCTCGCCATGTTTATTATATAGTTCGGGTTTGACCCTACCAATGACCCTTGATTTGCATAAATGCATAATCAAGCTGTGGCAGAGGTGATTTGAAGAAGTGCCATCTTGTGTGGAGTGTTAACTTCAAATTCATGGAATGTGTTACCCATAATGCCTTGCTACCATAGTTCAAGACTGACAGTTTCTATATGACTCGTAATAATCTAACTTACTTTGCTTTACCAGTCCATGCCAAGGTGTGGAAAGTTGTTGAGACCGTGAAAAGTAATGTAAGGGCTGAACTATAAACAAGTACACTATACATCTGTGTAAAATTTATAGCTTGTTGTAGCATAAGCAGACCACCTATCACACTGGGAATTATCCATAACTGTAAAAAAAAAAAAAGTTTGTGACTTTCGGTTCTGTGTGAGATCTTGCGTAATACATGAAAGGTTTGGACCAAATGTCTGACACAAAAATAGAAAGATTTGAACTTGATTTTCTGTTGTTTTTTTTCATAGCTCAGTGTCAAAATGCTAATTTTTCAGAAGGGAATACAGTGATGAAATATATTAGGCATGGAAATACATTGGCATTTGTTGGATCCCACGTGTTGTTTTCATGTCGCTATGATCTTTATTTGTTCCGTTTTTGTTTGATTTCATTTTTATGTTCGATGCAGGGTCTCATACTGAACAGAAAATTGTCTTTTGTAGCACAATAAGACCACCTATCACACTGAGAAATATCTATAACTGCCAACAAAAATCTTATTCACAAAAAGGGATCATACTAAAACACCTTGATACACTGAATCTTGCTTAAAAACATTCAACAATTAAAGGAACTTGACCAATTACAATGTCTCAATGGATACTTACCCCATGCGTCACACAGTTTGCTAGATGTTCTAGTTTGGTTGGCTTATATGGATTGTTACCAACAGCCCGATTGTTCATGAATCTGTTAATAGAAATAAATATAATCATTCGTTACTTTATTCAAGCAATCTATAATATCATACCATTGCCCATATTTAGAGATCACATTACATCATCGCATAACAATTTGCGTTAAATTCAGTAAAAAAAACAACTATTCTAAAGTTGCAGGGTTTGTGATGTAAAAATAAAAGCTCGCCAAAATTCAAATGACCACTATTCGCCCTCCTGAATCTGATCATCAAACAAACGCATGTACATATGCACGACATGATCAGTCAAGGCATGTCAGAAAAATTACTTTGAAACAAAAGTCATTAAAACAAAATCAGTCAATCTTTTTTTAATTTAAAAAACAAAACAAAATGACATGCATCAAGGTGACTTCCATCATGTCCAATGTATGTTTCAAGCTTAAACGAAACACATCCATACCCAACGAACAAGATCCAGTTCCAAAAACTTAATTTTTAACATCATAATGGCCGCCACTGGGCCATACTGAATCTGGTTGTGAAACAAATACAAGTGCATATGTGTGAGATGATGTTTGAAAGTCAGAGATAAGGCTCTGGAACCACAATCATTAAAACCTCCATTTAAGTGATAGTCTCTTTATTGATTATTATCAACATGGTTAGGCTACGTACTAGCTGCAGTGTCTAATAAGAGCAATTGAGCCTTGTCTGGCAATTGTCAGATATTCGTTTAAATAAATAGTGAATATATTTTTAGGATTTGAACTTCTTCAAAGAATCAAGGTGTTCACTAATTCGCTCAGTATAAAATAATCAAGGGAGATATTGCTATTCACCGTTGTGCAAATTTTAAAGCCTCAGTTGTTGATCACACACTACCTGTTGATGACCATTACTGGAAGCAGAGTCAAATAGTCTCGAAGAACCAACACAGTCAATGGTTGTTATATGGTAATAAAAACCCAGGAGAGCATCCAGCCTTAGTCGGCTATATCAAATACTTTAAAGTTTCAAAAAGCATGCTGATAGCATTAACCAGCTATCACCAAAGTATGCCACACAAAAAAACCTGCTACTAGCATCAACCAGCTACCACCAAAATATCACACATAAAAAAACCTGCTACTAGCATCAACCAGCTACCACCAAAATATCACACATAAAAAAACCTACTACTAGCATCAACCAGCTACCACCAAAATATCACACATAAAAAAACCTACTACTAGCATCAACCAGCTACCACCAAAATATCACACATAAAAAAACCTGCTACTAGCATCAACCAGCCATCACACAAAAATACATGTTGATGACTACCAAGAAATGAAAGTACTGGTATTCAAATACTGATATTCTTCTTAGCTAGAATGAAGAGAGCTGTAAAACAGGGGTACATGCGAAAGCTTTGACACGTACAATTGTATTCAAATTAGCCAAAAAGACTTTACGGCTCTGTGCTAAGTAATATAGCAGTGGATGTGAGAGATTCAATCCAAATATTAATGGACTACCCCGGTATATAAGCATATATAAGCAGTATTTTTGACCAGTGAAGCTGAAAGAAGAGAAATATTCGCAAGGTTTAATTTTAACAGATTTCACTGGTCTATAAGAAAACTACATTTTAATGTTAAATATTCACTGGTACATTCAGTTATCAACAAACTAAACCAGTTAAACCTCACTATTGAGTTGTTTAAACATGTCAACATTAGTTTTTGTCTTTTATTTTCTCCTATATTAAAGTATGTTACTTATGACTGTGAATTTATCACAGATAAAATTTTCATAATCAAACAGCTCCACTATCAAACAATGGGTGAACCAGAACCACTCCCGGTGAGCAACTCAATGTACATAGTTTCCAAATCTGCAAAATATTTACATAGATCATACAGGGTTTAATTATTAGCCAGATTTATTTTTGCTTATTTCGCAGCTAGCTAAATGCACTAAATTAAAAACCAGTGAATATTGAATAACAATCAGAATTGATTGTTTTTTCACAATCCGGTGAATTTGAAATCTAGTGACTATTCCTATAACATTACCAGTAAATTTAAATTAAACAGTACATACATGTACTTGAATTGACTGGAACATTTAGGACATACAATGTACAAATATTCCAATCCCAAGTTTCAAAGTTACTGACATAATTCCTACCCGGTACTCAGTAACTCTATGACAGTCTAATATTTGATACCGTACTAGTATAGACTTTTAAGGATAGGTCATTAGAAAATCAGGGGAGGGAGGAAAAAAACATTAGAACAAAACTGCACAGTAAAGAAATCATGGAAATCCAGTAACAAAAGAAAAACAATTTTACACACCTAAATTTTAGGAGGAAAAAGTGCACATAGTGGGAACAAATCACAGGTAATTCATAGTGCGAAGAAAATTGGAACAAAACTAAAGATGAAATTCATTGCATTGCTACAGAGTGCTATATTTTATTAAGTTTGGGTAAATATTTGTTTAAGAGTTTTCATTACAGAGAAACTGAAATGGAAGTATAATTTGAAGTATATGTATCTTGTTTTTTTAAAGCAATTGTGTGTAATTTAAGTTTTGAAATGTAACAGTACTTTAGGCCAGTGGCCATATAGTGCGGAATAAAGAAATAATAATAAGTGAAGGAAAAAAATATTTTGCACAGCCCCCCTCCCCCCGAAGAGTTTCAAATGCAGGTGCAGAATCTCAATGTCATAACCATTTTAATATTGTAGATCAATGCTTGGCAAAACACCATACAGCGACATTGACTCCTACACCATAGTAATTTATGGATATAGTTCATGTACTACTGTTACCATGGGTGATGGCACAAAAGCACAGATATGTATCCATGGAGGGGTCCAACTTGAAAAGATATTCAGTGGTAATGTTTTGTTGGACCATTTAACTACAGTTTTTAGTTCAATAGCTGGACTGAAACAAAGATATGTTTGACTTAAATAAATGTAAACCTTGTACTGGGAACTAAAATGTAAAATTCACCTACACTCACACCACATCAGTAAATTAATATACGAATTATTGTGATAAATGAAACTACACAACAAGATACCAGTAACTGTGTACACAGTGAGTCATTTCAAAACCTCACCATACCAGTGGTATCTCAATTTACGTTGGACAAGTCTATTTGTCCAAGTGTGACAATAGGGTCCCTTGTGTCCCCGTCACGATAGAAAAAAAATCCCAATATTATATTACAAGTCAATTGTTTTACCCCATAGCGTTGGCTTTCTTTGTTAATAAATTTCGACAATACATATCCACACAACAAAATACGGAACAGAATGAAGCAAAAAACAATGTCATAAATTAAATGTAAAGATCGTCAAATCGCGGTAACTTCCTTTATGTGTGGGGACTTGTGTGTGTCCCCCGCCTCTTTCCAAAGAAAACGGCATACAAAACAACAACATATACAACTTTCTCTACCTTGTTCGAATCTGGTCGTATATTTTCCACAGAATACAATACGGACCCTCTTGCCGGTGTTGCTGGTGGCAGTAACACATCCCAAATGCTGTAGGACAAGTGCGAATACTGCTATAACCCTCCGAGCAAGTGCGTTTCAGTACGTCTGGGGTTTCGGTGTGCGACGGCAACTCAGAATACGGGTCGAAGGTCAAAACAAGGGGTCATGGGTAATACTAACGCGCTTATTTTTTACGATGGTTTTTTTTTTTTTTATTAGGAACTCATACAACGCTTTATAAGGTGAAGTACAAAATACAAAAGAATAAATCAAAGTACTTAAATCTATGATTTGGATAATAAAATATTTGTGTGTTTAATTTTAAACTTGTCGTTGTTTAAGATTTTTTTGCAAAAACGATTTCTACATGAGTAAGTCAAGGCGCTACTTATTTGTGTTTTTTTACTTACTAATAAACACACTGATTTAAATTATGAGTGTTAAAATTTGTCATCCTCCAGACTGGAAATTGAATTGAAAAAAATAGTTTTGCGAAATGTGGGGTGAACGCGATTCGCGGTTACAGGGGATTTCGCGCACGGGCGCTTGCAGTAGGGTTGGGTGGGGTTATATACTAATAGAAATAAAGCCTTAGTACTGTAAAGGGGGTAATTATTCACTGGGTTTTAATTTAGCTTATTTCGCTGACTGGAAAAATGCGCTAAATTAAAACACAGTGAATATGTAAAATTTAGCATAGAACACATTATCTAAATGACGAAACCGTGAATTTAAAACCCACTGAATATGCCTGAAATGGTAAATCAGTGAAATTTAAACCCAGGGAAAATTAGTCATTTTACAGTATATAACCCTACCCAACCCTACCCTTAATCTAAAATCCTGTCGCAAGCGCCCGTGATTTCGCGTTAACACCTCCATTTCGCTATCTTTTTTATTTAATTTTAAATTTAAAAAGAAATAAATCGCCCAGACTGTGCCAGTCTAGTCATCCTCATATATGCGGCTATCGATATGCATGGAAGTAACTATTTGAGTTAATAGACAACGCACACGTATACGTAACATCCGGTACGTAAAGATACTGTGTTATCGTCTGATTATCTAAGGTTTGACCACATCCCTCTATCCCCGGTAAAAACGCTAACAACGCAAAGGCCATGAGGTAGACGCTTGTTTGTAAACAATGACACGCTATGGCCATCTGACGCATGCGCAGGTGAAGACTCCCTCGCTTTAAAAATACATGTATTGAGGGGACACTACTCAAAATTAAAAATAATGTAAATATTCTTTCTACGTGCTTTTTTTCAAGTTACAAAGATGCGGAATCACCGTACTCAGCTCAGTACAAAATAGAGTGACGGTGACATATGGTGAAATATATATTTATATATAACACGCCATACAATACATCAAGATTTTAA